ATATTTACCTCCTCAGAGGGCTATTATTTTCCCTCTGTTTATCCTCGTTTCAGACCAAATTCTCGCCAACAAAACCACGTATTGAGGTGAGTGGGGACGGCGTAGGGTCAATAATCCCCACATCCAAGAGGCAGCACAGCAAGACCTCAGCTTCATCTCTGGACGGCCACCTTCAGGCAAATGACTCTCCAACTAATCGACGCTTGACACCTGTACTGACCATCACACTGCCTTCAACAGAGGAGCTCAGGACAGAACAGCAGTTGGTTCGGAGCAACAGCAAGCCACCCCCGAGCCCGCAAACAGAAGAGAGACATGCAAAGATTTCCACAGTATCAGCCCCTGCAACTGCCACTCCGTTCAAGAGCCAATACGGGGCCAATGGTTGCTGTGAACGCGGGACAGCGGAAGATGCGACGAGTAAAAGCGATCAGTACAAAAGGCAGGTGAGACGAATGGAAATGTTTGTAGATGAACTACGTGTTTTCCATGTATATTTCTAAAGATTTGCATCAATATTTACTGTCATATACAATTTAATATTTAATTTTGTAAAATAATATTATTGTATATAAGATTTGAGGTTTACACAGAGGTGAATATGAAGACAGAAATCTTCAATATTATTGTAATCGATAAAATTTATATCTTTATGACGTTTTAAAAAATTAGTAACTTTACGTAAAAAAAATATCTACAGATCTACAATGTGCAAACCTTAAGACATCTGAAAAAGAGAAGAAATATGTAAAATGAAGGCAAAAAGTATGTGATTAGAAACAATACAATATTCAGCTGTACTCCATCGTCCTCCTGTTACTGATTTGTAGGTGCCATTGTCTCGGCCGGTGTCGGTAAGTGCCGCGGCCTCTCCTCCTGTTCACCGCCGTGCCTCTAAGTGGACAAAGGTCAAGAAGGCATTTCTGACGTCATCAACGCCAGGACGCATTAGCAGCTCTGTGCCCTCCAGCCCAAACAGAAATTCCAGTTTCTTCGATGAAATGGGTAAGTAAATGAATAAAGAGTCCAAAGATTTGTTAATATTTGCGCGCCACTACACGTTTGAATGCATCATTGATGTTAACTGTCTTATGAAATGTCTCGTAGAAATTGTACAACGTTTCAGAGGCATTACTGACTCAATTATCGGGTGACACGTAAGCCGCGCTCAAAAAATGCGGGAAAAGAAATGGGAGCAGGCCGGACCAGGTCAAATTGGCCACATATTTTTGGGGAGGCTTGTTACGCTATGCTTTCAAAGCTATCAAAATGCAAACATGGGCTTTTTATTTTAGCCAGCTAGCCAGCTAGCCAATAAGAGAGGCTGTTGTTCACTGTCAATAAGAGTACACAAATATTCTGTAAGAAGCAGCTCTCTCTTCTGTGGTTTTGATTGTACAAATTCTAAACATCTGCATTTCCGTGTCGAAAGACGTGGTTCGTAGTCTTATTTCAAAACGTGAAAGAGTAGTATTGTATTTTTATAAATGTACATCAGAAAAACTTTCAAAAGCTCAAATGTAATAGATTGTGTTTGGGGAGGATTCCTCACCTCCATTTTGTACAGAGATCATGAATGAGTAGGAGATAAACTTCACCTTTTCCTAAGCGCCTCTATTAAGCAGGGGGTCAAATTAAATATTACTAGGTTTTGGTTAAAATCTGAGACTCAGACATTCACGCTCTGAAAGTGTTTTCAAACCATTGGCACTGACAAAAGAGAATTAATGTTGAATATTTAAAAGAATGTTGGTCTAGTGTCGTCTTAATATGTTGTTTGTGTTGGACATGATAGTGGGAGGTGCAAGAGGTTTGGCAAGAAGTTTCTGCTAGATCTATTAGCTCGGTCATTACGCCCTAGCAATGAGAAGGTCCTGGCAAAGTGCCTGTCGGATGGATAAGTTCTATAAACCTTCCTCCCTGGTGGACGAAAACATGGTTGTCTTGACAGTAAAACGTTCCTGAAGACACTTTTTTTGCATAATATTAAGTTAATTGCTCTGAATATTAAGCAGCAACAAATTATTTTAAATTAGACCGATATCTCAATGCATTACTCTGCACACGTATCTAGTGACTAAGAAAATACATGTAAACAGTCAGGATAGCCGTTGATTCAGATATGTTGTTGCTAAATCCAGCTTGCTGGATTCGTTGCCAAAATTTAGTGATGAGAACTCAAGAACAAAGAAGAAAGACCTACAAATCGTAATTAAATGAAGACATTATAAGTACTCCCTCCTTTCACATTGCAGACACAGACGAGCTAAGCAGTGGGGAATACGGAGAGATCGGGGTTACCGGATCCAGATCCGATGACGTCGGCGACGCGGAAGGAACTGTGTTCCATAGAGATCCAACAGTCCAATCGACAAGCATTCACGCTGAAATCCAGAGGAATTACGAGGAGCTACAGCAAAAACTGAGCCAAGAATTTCACAAGAAGTTACACGGGTGGGAAAAAATGAAGTCTTCTTCATCCGGATGTCGCTGTCCTGGAGGAGACGATGGGTTTTTACACCGCGATAAAGGATTTCGTCGCAAGATGGAGGAGTGGGAACGAATGAAAAACCCTCAGCAGAACCAGAGTGGCAGCGGCACCAAACACCGAGACTCCGTCGCGTTCCAGACGCTGGATGAGGACAGTCTTTCACCAGACTTCCGAAAGAAGTTACAGGTTTGTGCGGTAATATGATTACTATAGCCAGTTATCGGAAGGTTTTTCATTCTTCAGTACAGCGTCTACACCGACTGCGGACCGCTCATTTCTCTCCAGTACCCAGGCCAAGTACGTCCTGACTTGAATTTCCAATACGTATTTCGTCATACACAAAATATGTGGGAGTAGCTACTGCATTCTAAATAAATCAACGTAAAATCAGTATTCTGATAATGCTGCACGTTTTGGTACAAAAATCTTTGGAAATACTATTCCAAACAACTGCCAATACGTCGTCATAAAGGAAGCTAAAGTAATTACTATGCGTAATTAAGCACTAAAAAAGTCACCCCCATCTAGTGCCGAGGTCAAGAATTAAGCTCTATACCATGAAAAAACATGTCAAAAGCGGAGACATAGCTCCACAAATTCATAATCTTGGCACCAGATGGAAGTGAGTAAACACCTCAAGCCGTGGCCGTTTTATTTCCTGAGAAAAAGCCCCTGATACTCATTGGATATGAAGCTGGGTGCATTTAAACAAGGTAGCGAAGAGACAAAATTTCAGTCCTTGTCGGGAATCAAACCCTGGTTCTCTACTCCGTACTATACAGAGTAAGCTGGCCTCCTGACTAGCGTTCTCGTCGTTACAGGAATGGCAGAGGATCAAGAAGTCGCTGCCAGCCGGAACAACGCCCCAGTCTACGGGAGAGACCTACGCCAGTGGAAGTTCAGTACCGCCTCAGTTCAAGAAGAAGATAGCCGAGTGGCAGCTTTGGAGATCCGGGAGCGGCAAAGGCGACAGTCAGCATAGGGTAGAGGACCAGGTGGAAGATTTCAGCAAGAAACCGCAGGAATGGGACAGGGTGAAGGCAGCATCGTCAAGTCCTAGTCCAGAGACGGTGACGAGCGCACTGGGTCAGGAGAGCAGCGAGCGAGCCAGCGGTACGAAAACACCAAGTCCAGGAATTGTTCGGAAGGATTCTACGGGTGACTACAATTAAAGCTATTCTAATAGAATAAGATTAATGCCATCTTATAAGTGTACTGAGAATCTGTTAGTCATGTATTAATAGCGTTTTGCCGATTGTGAAATGTTTCGTAATTCCTAATTACTTTTTGTCAAAAATATGAACACGGCACGAACTTACGAGATAGGAAACATCACCGCTTAATTGTGATCCTAAACTTTTATGTCCTGTCTTATTAGACCCACTGGTTGACCTAGCCTCAGACCTGGACTTCCGGGTTTGACGCTAGGTCAACCACGATTCCCGAAACATAGGCGTTCTCTTCCTCAAGAACACAGCTTCCGGAACATTTTAGTTTAATGGGTTATTTTAGACGATGTACAAAGTCACGTTCCTTAAAATATCTCGGAACATAATCACTCTATTTAATTCGAATATACAATGCACACATGTCTGTCCACACGAAATTAGTCAGTCATGGCTTGTTTCCAGATTTCATTCTACAACCTTGTGTAAGGACTAAGAACTGGTCGCGTGAGCATCTTGCCTTTGTCACATGGTCATGTATTACGTCGCCGCGTAAAAGCCGCGCTCTACACGTGCTAAATTGTCCTCAGTAAATAAATCTCCAGGCTGTTAAATCAGACTGCACACGGCCCAGCCGGGCTATTTGCCAGCCCCCAGCATTGTCTGGAACACACTCCAGCTAGCTGTACAGATGACAGAAATACGACTGTCATTCGATTTGTACATGCGTAATATGTTTACATTTTAGGGAATTCAAAGGTCGGAAGCAAGAAGATGACTGGCAATAGCAAAAGTTCAGGAGGGGTAAACTCCGCTGAGATTCTTGGTTTCGGAAAGGATAAGTACGAAGGAGGTGGGACCGCCAGCACGAGGAACAGCGGTGCAGCTGTGAAGGTCTACCAGAAGGGCAAGTGTCAGAAAGAGAAAGAACTTCAGTGGCTGGAGAAGGAGCTTCAAAAGATCGAGAGAGAGAAGCAACGACTGGAGAGAGAGCGAGAAAAATACCTGGAGAGAGAGGCGAGGTAGGCAGATAACAAATTTTCTAAGGTCTGGTAGAATAGCCCTGGTGATGGAGGCAGCAATAACCTCTGAAACGTTTGGTAAGCTTCTATCAGACAGCCATCACACACGTGTGATACGTACTAACACGTGGCACGAGACAGTCAACGTGTTAATGTCATGAAAATTGCAATGTTCTTCTGTTTTACGATTTACTGTTATCTTATCATAGACTTGAGAAGATGAGGCGTGCTATGGGGTCAGGACAGAGGAAGCAAGAAGTTCTCATACAAACATCAACGGGGTTTTTCCG